AGCTAAATAACAACAAAGCCATTCACGGCTGACTGACTTAAAAAGTTTTCAAAACTTTTCTTGTTGCAAAATGATTCAAAGACATCCCATTAACATCAAAATGATTCAACTGATAGGACTCCTTTAGAAGAAAGTAATAGTGTTTTCACTGTACATGTTTCAAACAATCGAGTTCCTTGCTGGAGCCAAGGTTAAACGTTTACTGATGCAATATCAAAACAAAAAACTTTCCGGAGGGTTGAATAAGAAAACTTTCAATCTAGTTTTGTCGAAGATCAAAACTTGCACGTCTCTCAAATTCCTTGTCCACCTTTTTCGTGAACGAACTTCGAAAGGTATTTCCGAACCAATCAGTAAATTTGAAAGTGGTGACAAAGTGAGAGCAAACCCTTTTCCTGTTCGCTCATCAGTCGACAAAAGATCGAGAAACGAACGGCCGAATTTAACGTTAGCTACGAGTATATTTTTCTGCATATGCCTGTACATATTTTCAAAGGAAGCATCTGCTATTCGTCCGGTCAAATCAGAGATCAAATGTTACTTTTTCTCTTTCTAAGTGCCCTACAATGGTCGTACAAAGCTGTTTCGATTTCATATTATCACTGGTTGATGATTGCATAATAAATAAGCTTTAAATGTGCATTATGATCATAGGTGTATTTAACTCCACCTCAAGTTTAACAACAACAGAACCAAGTAAAATAGCGATAAAATGTTTCATTTAGGGCTTGAATAGTAGAATATATTTTCTCACCTTTCATCTACCAGAGCCACTGTGTACCAAAGTATAGCCGCTACGTGGAAATACCTTTAGACGACAACGCACCTTGAACAGTTCATGTCGCACTCACAAGTCAAGCATGCATGCCAATATAAGTAATTTCCATAAAAAGATTCACAGCAATTTGAAAGAATTTTCGGGAACAGTCACGGCTGATGTTTTTCCGCGAACTTGAACAAGCTACTATTTGTTTTGCAAATCTTTGGAAGGGAAAAACTACCGTGAATGCTGAAAGAAGACACCACAGACAATAATGATGATATCATGATCATGATGAAATACTTGAATCAAATCTGTACACCTACCGATCCATTTTCTTTCTTTCTTCCTTTCTTTTATTTCTTTTTTTATTATTCTATGGGTTCTTCTAGAAAAGCCCCTATTTGACACTGAGATTTAACTCACAAGTCTAAAAAGGTTAGATGAGCTCGAGATTTGTATCATTTCATAATTGATAACATGGATGAGCGAAAGATCGAGAGCGAATGATCTAATTGTTTCAGTCCAAATGTATTAGTCCTTCAACAAGACAGACCCGTGTTTTTTTTGTTTTTTAATTTACAACGGCAAACTGTTAGAGTATTCTCTTTACTCACCATCTATCACAGAATAGTCGGCGAATAGCGAAACCAATCAGATTGCAGTATTCGTAATAGAAGGCGAGTAGCTTTAAACTAAAACCAGTTAGTATATACCATATAGGTAAATGGCGCTTTTTTTCGAGCACAGAGCCACGGAACTGTAAAAGAGGTATTTGGTGATATGGATCCAATCGACGGAAAACTTTGCCGCTGCCCAGCTGCTGAGATTTACAGATGGAAACGAAAAAAACCATATCACTTGGTGCCAAGGGAAGGAGTAGATTTACTGAAGAAGGTAGTGCTTTTGATTTTAAAATCACTGCGGTTGGTGACAGACTATTAGTCGGTGATTTCAGTACAGACATATTTATGGTACTTGGGATAACGAGACATTCAAATAATTTCAACGTTACATACAACGTTACCTTTTGTTTTATTAAAATAATGAATGAAATCTTAATGCTTTTACACGAACACGTTTTCAAAGGTTTTAACTTTTTTTTCGGTCCAATAATTTACTGTGTTCGTCTTCGATATGAAAACTCACTCCCTCTGATGGTTTGGGAAGTCTGTGCAATGTTGTTATCTCCGCTTTCGTGGCCAGTTTTACTGTCTGACGCAAAAGGAGAACGTAGGCATGTCTTGACTGACCTTTGTTGCTTGCCACCCACAATTTTACTAGTTCCCAGCCTTTTTATGCGCGGCCGAGGGTTTCGCAAGAGTCTAGCACTACCATAACAAAGGGAACGATGGGAAACGAACGAAAATCTTTTTACACGCGTACCTCTCGCGCAATACCTAAATATCTAAAATAAGACAAACAACTGAGAACGAGTCAGCCTCAGAATGGCATGGGATCATTCGCACTTTCCCAGCAGACAACATTATTTACACCCAGTACAGGAAGAGTTACTAACGGGTCCATTCTTCCATCATACAAACCGAACACACCTCCTGTTGGAAAATAAGACACACCCTATCAGACCTGTCCGAAACTCGCATAACACTGTTACAGATCAGGTCTCGCCACTTTAAAAGGATTGATAACACCATCCTCTAATCAAACATATGAAAGTTAATCACCTGTGGGGATGTTATCGTATTCAGTTTTCCAGCAAAAGATATATCTTATTAGAAGTTTTGGCGTGTAGCATCGGCAACTATTTTACGACTTGTGACATATTTTGACGATCCCGCAAGGCGAGTCAAAATACAAACTATGAGTAAAAAAACCCAGCGATAAAACACACCAAAACGTCTAATACGTTGTTTATTGCCCAACTGCTTTATTTTATGGGCATTTTTCAAAAAGTGGGAAAAGCGACGCAGATAGAGAAGTGCAGCACGCGCAGCCAACCGATTAAACAAGTTTTTTAACAGGACAAAATAACCAAATGCACAATTATCACAGGAAGTTTTTCCTCGAGTCGCACGTTGTTTGTATTCTACTTAGGGCAATTGAATAATAATGAGCAACTTTTGGATTAGGTTAAGCATAATATCATAAATTATCAATGCTGGGTTCGGAGTTATCTTACGAAGC